CAGAGGCCTCGCTGCAGACGCTTCACATGGACGTGTGGGGCCCGGCCCGCGTCCGTGGACAGGGTCACGAGCGCTACTTCCTGCTGGTGGTTGACGACTACTCGCGTTACACCACAGTCTTCCCCTTGCGCAGCAAGGGTGATGTCACTGAGGTGTTGATCGACTGGATCCGCGCAGCTCGTCTCCAGCTCAGGCAGAGCTTCGGCTCGGACTTTCCTGTTCTGCGTCTGCACTCTGACAGAGGTGGAGAGTTCTCCTCTGGCCTTCTGCGAGCCTACTGTCGTGCACGAGGCATCCGCCAGACCTTCATGCTTCCGGACTCTCCACAGCAAAATGGGATTGCTGAGCGCCGCATTGGCATGGTCATGGACGTCGCCCGTACGTCCATGATGCATGCGGCTGCCCCCCATTTTCTGTAGCCGTTTGCGGTTCGGTACGCGGCGCATCAGATCAACCTTCACCCCAGGGTCTCCATGCCGGAGACCTCCCCAGCCTTGCTGTGGACGGGAAAGGTTGGCGATGCGTCTGCGTTCCGTGTCTGGGGATCTCGGGCGTTTGTCCGCGACTTGTCTGCGGACAAGCTGTCCCCTCGTGCTGCTCCTTGCGTCTTCCTTGGCTTCCCCCCTGACGCGCCAAAGTGGCAGTTCTACCACCCCACCTCTCGCCGTGTTTTGTCCTCTCAGGACGTCACGTTTGACGAGTCAGTCCCCTACTACCGCCTCTTCCCCTACCGCACTCCGTCCCTCCCCCGCCACCGCTCTTTCTTGTACCAGGTCCCCCCCCCCGGTAGACCCCCTCCCCCCTCAGGGTCCTGCCCCTTCCGGTGTGTCCCAGGTAGACGCAGTCGAGCCTGTCGAGGTTACTGGTGACTCTGGTGCTGCTGAGGGTGCTGAGCCTGGGGGTGCTGACTCTGGGGGTGCTGAGCGTGTGGGTGCTACGCCTGGGGGTGCTGAGCCTGAGGGTGCTACTACTGGGGGTGCTGAGCCTGGGGGTGCTACTACTGGGGGTGCTGAGCCTGGGGGTGCTGAGCCTGGGGGTGCTACGCCTGGGGGTGCTGAGCCTGGGGGTGCCACGCCTGGAGGTGCTGTGCTTGGGGGTGAGGAGCCTGAGGGAGCTGGGCCTGCTCGTGTGGCGTCTGGCGGTGCTGAGCCTGGAGGTTCTCCGGGTGCTTCGCCTCGGCGGGAGCCACTCTCTCCACAGGAGCTGCGCGAGTGGTTTGCCCGGCGCTGGAGGCGTGCTGCTGGAGCTGGAGGTTCGTCGGCTGCTGAGGGTGCTGGTGCCGCGGGTCCCGGAGGTGCTCGTACTGGGAGTACTGGAGCTGCTGGGCCTGCGGGTACGACTGGAGCTGGAGCTGCTGAGGGTGTTGGCGCTGAGGCTACTGCTGTCGGTCCTGGAGGCGGTCCTGCTGGGGGTGCTACTGGTGCTGCTGGAGGTACTGGAGCTGGAGGTGTTGCTGGCGCTGGTGCTGCCGCTGGGGGTACTGGTGCTGTCCCTGCTGTGTCTGGAGTCGCCGCGCGGCCTAGGCCGTACTTCGTTCCGCTCCTTCAGCAGGTTCTTGGTCTCCCGCCTTCTACTCGTCCTCCTCCTCCCTTAGAGTGTCCACAGCCTGTCCCGTCACAGTTACAGTTACAGCCGGCCTCCCCACTGCCCGCTCCTTCTCCCTACACTGGTCCTACTGGAGGTCTTGCTGAGCGTCGTGAGCCTGCGTCTCGCCCTGCGTCGCCTGTCCGTGCTGCTCGCACTAGTGGTCGTGGTTCGCGTCAGCGTCCTCCTCCTGTCCCTGGCACGCACCGGATGTCTCTGCGTCCGTCCACTGCTCCTCTGCGTGCCCCTTTGCCTTCTCCTCCTGAGTCCTCTCTTCCTGCTCTTCCTGACCCGGAGTCGGACTCTCTTCGTGCTGCCAGTCCTACTGTCACGCGTCTCCTTGCTACTGTTGTCACTGACCCTTCCTTTGAGTCCACTGCTGCGTCTGCCCTAGTTGCTGAGCTCGCCGACTTTGCTGCTCGCTGTCGTCTAGGCTACGCTGCTAGTCTTGTCGTTGAGTCTGAGTCTGTCTGTCCTCCGTCCGTCGGGGGTGAGTGTGCCCTTGGCACGGACGTCCTTGAGGACAGGCAGGAGGAGTTCTAGTGTTTGGCTGCTGCTTCACCTCATCTCGTGTCCGTACTGCTTACCCCTGAGGGAGACCCGGATGCACTTGACATCCCGACTCCGCGCTCTTACGCGGAGGCGATAGAGGGTCCCTACTCCTCTCAGTGGCAGGCAGCTATGGACACAGAGATGGCTTCCTGGAAGTCCACAGGCACCTACGTTGACGAGGTTCCCCCGCCTGGGGCGAACATCGTCAGTGGCATGTGGATTTTCAGGGTGAAGCGACCGCCGGGTTCTCCGCCTGTCTTCAAGGCGCGTTACGTGGCTCGTGGCTTCAGTCAGCGGCAGGGAGTTGACTACTTTCAGACCTTCTCTCCCACCCCGAAGATGACCACTCTTCGGGTACTGCTGCACATAGCTGCTCACCGCGACTACGAGCTGCACTCTCTTGACTTCAGCACTGCTTTCTTGCAGGGCAGCCTGCACGAGGAGATCTGGCTGCGTCGCCCACCTGGCTTTACTGGGTCTTTTCCTCCTGGCACCCAGTGGAGCCTCCGGCGGCCAGTCTACGGTCTCCGCCAGGCACTGCGTGAGTGGCACGACACACTGAGGACTACACTTGCGGCTCTTGGGTTTGCTCCCTCTACTGCCGACCCGTCGCTGTTTCTGCGCACCGACACTTCTTTGCCGCCGTTCTACATCCTCGTGTACGTCGACGACTTGGTCTTTGCCACAGCTGACACTGCTGGACTAGCCCACGTGAAGTCCGAGCTGCAGAAGAGACACACGTGCACAGACCTGGGTGAACTGCGCAGCTACCTTGGCTTGCAGATCACCCGGGACAGAGCACGCCGCACCATTACCCTGACTCAGTCACACATGGTGCAGCAGGTCCTTCAGCGCTTCGGCTTCACGTACTCCTCGCCTCAGGCCACTCCTCTGCCTACTCGCCACTCGCTCTCAGCTCTGCCTTCGGATGAGTCCGTAGAGTCGAGTGGCCCGTACCCAGAGCTTGTTGGCTGCCTCATGTACCTGATGACCTGCACACGACCTGACCTTGCATACCCTCTTAGCATTCTCGCACGCTATGTTGCTCCTGGGAGACACAGACCGGAGCACATGGCTGCAGCGAAGAGGGTGTTGCGCTACTTGTGCAGTACGTCGGGCATGGGGCTTGTGCTTGGAGGGCAGAGTCCAGTGGTCCTCACTGGGCACGCAGACGCTTCTTGGGCTGACGACCAGGCTACGCAGCGGTCGTCACAGGATTACACCTTCAGCCTTGGTTCCGGCTCTGTTTCGTGGCGGGCTACCCGCTCGTCCTCTATTCTCGGCTCCAGTTGTGAGGCTGAGATCTACGCCGGGGCCATGGCTGCACAGGAGCTTCGCTGGCTCACCTACCTGCTGACTGACCTCGGAGAGCCGCCTCGTTCTCCTCCAGTGCTGTACGTAGACAACAAGGCCATGCTGGCCTTGTGTCGAGAGCAGAGACTGGAGCACAGAACGAAGCACATTGCTCTCCGCTACTTCCTTGCTCGTGAGCTACAGCAGCGTGGTCAGCTGCGGCTTGCGTACGTGGCCTCTGAGGCCAACACTGCTGATATCTTCACCAAGGCACTTGCGCCTTGTGATCATCAGCGCTTCTGTACTCAGCTGGGTCTTGTGCCTACCTTGCCTCACTTGCTCACCCCTTGACCTTGTTTGTACTGTTGCATATATATATACACCTGCTCTTGCTTGTCTAGCCTTATATATGTATGTAATCATGCATGTGAACTGGCCTTGTGGCCTTGAACTTGTGCTCGGAATGTGTGGTGACTTTGTGATCCACCCTGAGCTTGTTTTTGCTTTGCTTGACTGGTCTTGTGACCCCTTGTTCTCCCCCACTTTGCCTATGGGGGTGTGTCAGATTTATATGACATAGCTACTGTAGGCTATAGTGGGGTAGCACATATGGGGTACAGTTTTCCTAGGGTTTGCATTTGTACCCAACTTTCCCTTAGTCATTTCATTCCTCGTTTCTTCTCACAGTGGGCCTCCATCACCCTTGTTAGCAGTTGAATGAACAACATGAAGGACTTGCGGTGGATGGAAGTACGGTTGCATCAGTGTCCAAACATGCTCTGCTCCAATAAACGTGTACGACACAAAACCGTGTCACTTAACCATAAACCACACACCGTAGGACTTGGCACAGGCGACCAACGCTGAGCTGCCTTCAGTCCACTACCTGGCTAGCGCGCAACACGTGCCCGTCTGCGTGTTAAAATAAATAATCCTGCTTCACACATTCTAATCACATCTGCGTTTTGGTAACCAACAAGTTTGCCTTTGGCAAACAAAGTTGTGGGGATTATTCTTTGTTGTTTTCGTTTTTGTTGGTTGCAACCATATTGTATTCTAAACGGTACATATGTGGTTTAAACCGGCAGACTGTTACCAATGCACACACACAGACACATAATACATTCCATTGCATAAATAACAATACTAATCTGCATCTGTTGATTACTCATCGTGTCAGAACAGTTAAATGACAGAGTGTAGTACACTACCTTTGTTATACCCTTCTACCGAAGGGTCTACGTGGCGCAGGTGACGCTGCTGTTGCTTGAAGGCATCTGAAGCTCGTCCGCCCTCGTCTGGCTTGGAAACGATCAAAGACCGCAAGTGTGGACAAGTACAGTTTCGATATTAACGGTCGTCGTTTCTGTGAAGTTTCGATGCCTCCGCGCTTTGCTGCTGGAAGGATGTGCTAGTGGGACAGTGGGCAAGTGTGGATTTTTATCTCTGTACAGCATGGCCGATCGTTACCTGTATTCTTGCAACGTGGCATTGTTGTCACTTTCCTGTATTTTACAGCAACTACAATGACAGCTAAGATGACCGTTCTGGTCATAGTTCACTTGGCACCCATGCGTGTCAATTCCATGCTATTCACGCGGTATACAACTGGCATTTGTGGGAGGGATTGCCTACTGACGTGTAGTCTGCTTGAAATGCCACGTGTTATTTTATCGCAACCCGTCAGGAGTTCACTGTACCCTCGTTTTGTTGGAATTCCCGGTCCCACGTGCTCCAATAACTTGTTTTAAAAAGAAACTGTTTTCATGCAACCTGCCCGTCAAGAGAACCGAAACTCGTACAGGCAGCAGCAATCCACTGTTTCCGCCTTATTCACGCGACAACAACGCTGCCCACTGTCAGTTGGCAACGCTGTCCCACGACGCGCACCTTACCTATCGAGCGCAGGAGTCGCAGGCCAGCGGGGCTGTTGTTTTGTTTTTCCTCCCCGTCACATATTCACTGTACCCCCAATTTCTTCGTAATCGACTGCACCACTGCTAGAAAGGGGACGAAACAGATACACTCCCTCCTGCCCGTGAACAATGCCGAACATGCACCACACAGCTGGCCACACACTGGTCCCACGTGATTCACGCGACAAGTGGGGCTGTGAAACAGCTGTCAGTTGGCAGCGATGCCAACTGATATGCACTTGCCTGATGAGCGCAACACTCCCAAGCCGTCGCTTACCCCGCCAGCGCTGCTGACAGCGTGGTATCGTGACACCACGCCTTCCCCATCCCTCCCCCCCCCCCCTCCCCCACCCCCAACCATACTCTTTTTTCCGCGCGAACCTTCGCACGGAAAAGCTTCAGCAACCACTATACGGTACACCTCACTCCGCCGGCTACTCCCCCCCTACTCGACAGTCGACATTCTTTGCGCGCCCCTGCAAGAACGACCCCCCCCTCCGAACCCAATCTCAATTTCATTTTTCCAATTCGTCTTCGTTTGCTCGTTTCTAGGAGTAACCCTCCGCTCCGCCTCTCTGCATCAACCAGTCGCGGTTTAGCTTCACGTCAGCAACAGGTATGTGACTTCTGTTTGCCCGTTTAGGGTAGCACATAACACACGCTTATCGCACGCTGCTTTCCGTTATCCTTTTTTTTTTGTTTGGTTGCCTGCGCTCTGGACTTTTACACGTGTCACTAACTGCATGCTAATCCCCCTACATTCAGTATACATGTGGAGTCCTACGCTGCGCGAGTTTATTTCACTAGGAAGACTGGAATCAGCGCGCACCCTTCAGGGAAAGTCGTTTTTGTCTGGTTGTTTGTCATTCCAGGGTGCTTAAGCTGAGTTAGATGTTCGTATGCGCTTTGTTCTGATGTAATATTGACTATCAGTGAATCAAATACTTCATCATTTCTTAACTTATGAGTCCTCCAGAGCATGCCACGACCTCAAACACATACAAGCCCTAACCGTTTCAGGATTCAAGCTGTGCCTGAAATCGGTAATCATTTGTCGGGCTAATGAAAACGAGCGCTCTGAGTCTGCAGAGGTTCCAGGCATTGCGAGATAGTCTCTCGCCATCTTGGCCACGATTGGGTAATACCTTTCGTGACTCACCCACCACTCCTTGAATGTGGCCATTTTTCCCATAGGAACTTCAGGCCCGTCTTCAGCAAGATACTCCGCGAGCTGCTTGTCTGATTTGTCCTTTTTTGGTGCTCCAGGCTGTCGAAAAAGCCCTCCTAGTATGGATGTCGTCTTCTTGTTGGTTGTTGTTGCTGGAGGAGTGTGATCTCCTGTCTTCTCCTTCGTTGCATCCTCCTTTTCCTTGTACTGCAGGAACGCCTTCGAGATGGTTCGGCGAACCGTAGCCTCATTGACGTGGCCCTTGCTCGGCGCCTCGGCGGTATAGTAGGTCAGGTTGAAACGTGGGTCCAGAATTGTTGCAATGGTGTACTCCTCCGACGTCTTGTTGTAATACTTCTCCAGTTTCTCAAGTCCATCTGCACAAGCATCACTGAAGTCATCTTCCCTTTCCACACAACGCTCAAGAAAGTCCATGAGTTTATTCATGAGAGGGATGCAGAGAGAAACAGTTGCGTATGATGATGCCTCCAAAATCGTTGTGATCTCATGCAGTGGAGCTAGAATAGAGTGCACCTGATCAAGTGATTCCCACTCTTCTTCCCTCATTATGAGCTTCTCAAAAACGTCATCCCCTTCCTCCAGTACGTATGCAGAGATGGCAGGCTTCATCTCCTTGGCGCGGTCCGCCATGGCGTAAGCGCTGCCCCATCTGGTTGGGGTATCTTGTTTAAACGATCTCTTGTCTTTATTTTTTTTCTCCAAGCAGATGCCCGAGAACCTCTCCTTGCGCTTAGTTGAGGCGCCGATGTAAACTGCAAGTCCCCGGATCTTTGCTAGCGCCCGATCAACACGAGGCGCCTTCAGAATGCATTCTGCAACGAGGTGCAGGACATGAGCAAAGCACATGAGGTGCCTGTCCTTGCAGAATCATTTTTCCTCTGCAAGCAGCGACAGGAATTTCTCATTTGCAGAAGCATTGTCGACTGTGATACCCATTACCTTGTCTTGCAGTCCCCATTGTGTGTAGACCGAATCAATGAAGGCCTCCTTGATTGCCTCTCCGGTGTGTCGTCCTCCCAGAGACAGAAAATCTAATAAAATGGACTTACTTTCGAAGTTTTCGTCGATCCAGTGTGCAGTAATGGCCATGTAAGGATCCATGTTGGGTGCTGTCCACAGGTCACATGTAAAGGAGATCTTCGAAGACCGTGCACCAAGTTGCTTCTTCAGCCTTGCACGGAGTTCTTCATAGGCTTTCATAATGTCAGTTGCGATAGTGACACGACAAGGAACCTTGACTTGTGGCTCCAGCCACTGCAAATAATTTCTCAACTCTGCAGACTCCATAAAAGAGAAAGAAATGACGCCCTTGGAGAAAATACGTACCAGGCGGCGACGATTTTCAGCGTCCGAATACGCGCCTCGTAAAAGACACTTTCCGATGCTCTGAAGGCCAGATGAAGATTCGCCAGGGTACAATTCAGAATGACGAATAGGGTGTTGGGTTTTCAAATGATTCTTCATTCCAGATGTAGTTGAACCATTTGGAACTTTGAAGATTTGTTTCCCAGGACAAAGAAGACAACAAGCCGTTTCCTTACCTTCAGCTTCAAAAACCTCCCAGCAAGGAGCTGTCTTTGCCCTTTTTTTCGACTCTGGCGTCGCCCCGTCTTCGCCGTTGGGAGCGGAAAAGGTTACGGATCGTACACGCTTACTGGAGTTCGGCGGGACGGCGGCCGATCCTTGCTCGGCTGATGGATTTTCTGCCGAAGCGTCGTCATGGACGTTAGACTGCATTGGTGCATCGACGGGCGCCATCTAATCTTGCGTCGTTTCAGGAATGTAAAGTGCGTCCAGCGTTTTCAGATTCGATAGACTGATTGAGAACTCTGGACTCAAGTCTGAAGTTAACTGTGTTTATAGTACAAGAACCTGAACAATAGCCCTGAAAATTACGAGGTGCACGCGGGACGTGCATCTGCTCCGCGGGTAACATTTTCAAAAAAAACGGACACTTCAAGATTTCCGCGCCATTGACTCGAAAGACTTACCGTTATTCTTTCACAGTATCCTCGCATGAAATTTGCGCGGTTAACAGTCCGCGGAAGCACCCCTAAATTTTGTGTGTCAGTCCATTAGGGCGAAGAACAAGAACGAATTGGTGCAACCTTGCGTCCAAATCGAAAGTACATGCGTCATTTTTCAACGCCCCCCTAGTCCAACGAAACGGACAACAACGCACTGGCAGGGATCTTTTAATGTTTTAGGCAGTTTAGATTTCAAAGATTTGGGCGCGTTCTTGATTGACTTTTTTTGCGCGTGCGAAAACCAGCCACGACTGGGTTCCGTGACAGTCTAGCGCGAGTGTCGTTCTGACGTTTCGCGGCAACAAAAGTTAACGTCAGGAGACACTGCACGTGTCGTTCCAATCGAGCGATGTCCAGTCCAGATCAACCCCCCCTTTGCTGCCATGCCACAGGCGCTCAGCGCACTGTTGCTGGTGGAACGTCGGTTGGGGCCCCATCCCAGGAAGGCCCTCTGAGCAGCCGTCAACAAAAGCCGCCGCATAGCGGAAAACCGCCAATTTTCGGCAGGGCGGCAAACGGCCACAACTCCGCTATAAGTGTTTGGGTGCTATAAATATACACTTCATGAAAATGCAGACTGTAGAGTTTATCTTACATTTCGTGTAATATAATATCAATAAATATAACATACAACTGTACATATTATATGGTGTCAGAATTTATGTGGCAACTCATATAAGAAACGGGGGAATACAGCAATTACCCGTCAACTGTTGCCAATTTATCACCTTTGCAACATCTCTGTTCCCTGCAAAAATAGAAGAATAATGCATGGCCACGTATTGAGGGGCAATAATGCCCAAATAGCGAATAGTATCGAATACCCCGAATATTCTTGACCCGGTATAGCGAATATTTCCGAATACTCCGTCGTATTCTATTCATACGAATTGAGTTATTCGAAGCGAATATCGAATAGTTCCCGAATACGAATATTCTTTTACAAGGCACTATCTGAGACATTTGTGCCTCTCAGATCTAGCGACCTCAGCCGTGGCAGCCTATAGAGTTGCTTGATACCTTCTGTACTGAAGCTCGAGCTGTCCTCCAAGCTAATGCTTGTGAGATGCGTCATTGTGGACACATGGCCGAGGATGACGTCTGAGAGGCTGTGGAAATTCGCCAAGCTCAGTTCAGTTGCTCGTGATGCTGACTTGATTCGCTGGAGGTGATGGATGAAGAGGGAATGCATGACAGGGAAAGGAATGACATCGTGACAATAGCAAACAATGCCGCATGCCCTGTTAAATAGATCACACAGCACTCACCTCCAATGCAGTCTTTCGATCGCCTAGACTCAGCATGATTTCCAGCTCCACATTCAACTTGATATACTCCACCGCCATCGTCCACTCCTTGCACGTTGCCAATTTTCCATGGCACGTGGCCAATCCAGCTCCTGCACCTCCCTCCTCCTCTCTTCCCTGTCTCTTGGCAACTCCACTCGCACTTCATCCTCTCCATTTCTACCCTCCCCTCTCAGCTCTCTCGAATCCATTGGTTTTTTTCTCTCAGCCTCATTCAGTAGCTCTGCCATAGAGCCCTTCACGGCAGTCAGCTCCCCCTCCACTACACTCAATTTCCTGTTCACAACTAGCAAGTCCCCTTTTATTCTGATCACCTCCCCTTTCACTCCATTCAGCTCGTCCTTCACGGCTGCTAACTCTCTCTCCCTCTCCTCCACCACAGCAGCAGTCGCCTCACTCTTCTCGCCCACAACACCCAGAGCACGCCTCAGCTCATTCACCTCAGATTCCAAAACCTGATTCCGCTCCTCCAAAACCATCACTCGCTCATTCTGTCGGGCATTTTCCTCCCTAACTGCCGCCATCTCCCCCTTCAATGCAGCCAACTCCACAGCTGTGGCTGACAGCAGCTCTCCTCTGACCAAATCAAACAGCCATTTCACTGCTTCGGCTACCGCATTCGCCTCCCTGTCTACAGCCATAGCTGCAGTTTGAGCAGCTTTTTCCTGCGGGGACACACACACACGCACGCACGCACGCACGCACGCACGCACGCACGCACGCACGCACGCACGCACGCACGCACGCACGCACGCACGCACGCACGCACGCACGCACGCACGCACGCACGCACGCACGCACACACACACACGCACACACACACACACACACACACACACACACACACACACACACACAAGAAAACGATGAACATGAAGGACTGGCATCCAAGCCTACACTGTATATTATTTCCAACTCCGATATGCACTCGAAAAACGAGAATGTCAGGCAGAGTCCAAAATTTCACATGCAGCAATATGAGGGCGAGGGTGCAAATGCTGTGTGTGGAGTGGGGTTGCAGGACGCCACCAGATCTGCACGGATCTGGCTGCGAAATTCAGTTCTGCGCGGTACGGCTCTGGTCAGCTGCCTGTGTGAGTTTGTGCGAGGTAGGGGTGGGGGAAAATGTTCGCATTTGACATTTAGGTCCGGGCTTTGAGGAATCGTGCATTTTCTATGCTGGCTGGTGTAGAATTTTCCTCTCATAGGCTGACTTGTATCTATTTGAGCAATATTCAAAGAGCAAAGTGGCCGAGACCAGGGCCTTGCCTCGGTCAAATTACTTGACTTCTGGCGAGCGAGAAGAGTATCGCCTGTCGAGAATAATGCATGAGACCGGCATACTGACCTTGTGGGGTGGATGGTGAACGGAGCAATATATGGCGTGGACTGGGACTGGAGCACCAAACGCAGAAAGCGGAATCTGGTGGCTGAGAAAGGGCAGCTGAAGAAGTGGCAATCGTTGGTGGATAGGTGCGGCAAGAGGCATGGGAGACCGAGAAATCAGTGAAATCAACAGTGGGGAAAAAAAGGGGGCATGGCAAGAGGTTTGTGAGAAGCGAGGACCACTGAGTCAACTCAAACAACAATGGGACTCATTGGCTTGCAAAATAAGGGATGAGTAAAAGGAACTAACAGACGGAAGAAAGTTGACAGAAAAAGCAGCAGCAACTTGAAGAGGAACAGATGGGACGAGTTGGATTGGAGTAAAGAGCTGATTACGAACGGTAGGCATGCATGCAAAGTAAAGAACTAGGCTAAGGTTGGTGTTGAAGTCGAGGAGCAGGACAAATAGGATGAGTGGAAGAGGTTCTGTGGTGGGCCAGCACACACAACAAAATGGTCGTGCCCACCTGGTGTGCCGAGGTGGCAGGTGCGCTAGATGGCTACGGCGAGCTGTCAGTTTGAAAAGCGGTGCTCCTCAGCAGGCAGACGGACGAGCTCTGCAGCCTTAGTAGGGAGAAAATGTGTGTGAAGGAGCAACGTCGTCAGAAGAGGAATTGGAGGAAATATACCCAAGGATGAAAAGAGGGAGGATAGGAGGGAGGAATGCCACCTCGTGTGGCTCCCATATTTTATTATCGCTAAGACGTGACTTGACGCGGTGACGTGATATGGCACGGTAAATAATCGTCGACCGACACTTGGGATGCGGTGCGTGCAAAGGACCAGGGAGGGAGGCGCGCGCGACCTTGGGAGAAAACTACTAGGAGGTAAGGTGGAGGCGTCCATATTCGCGCGACTGACATCCGCGAGACGGTCTTCAAATCTTGACATGACCGTCTTATAAATCAAGGGAACCACGACCTTTCTCAAACAGTTGACTAACGAACCGCCGTCTGGCAGTGAGGAAGGAGATTGGGAAGTCACATCTTGTCGTTGGACATATTACCTCACTGTTCGACACTGAGGGATGTTTATCATCGACTGGGTTTCCGTTCTAGTTTCTGTAACCAGCTGTTACACCTCGGAGTGTTTGTTAGAGGGTTTCACTTTCTTTCTCGGTGGACGTCAAACACCAGAAACGAAGTGTTCAGACTCGACATTTGGAGCAGCACTTGGACGAAACGAGTGCGTCTGGTGTGAACCGTCTCGAGTTGTTTTTGAAACCAAGATTGCCGATTCCTATATTAAATAGGCCCCCAGGCTCTCCACGTTCCACTTCCAAGCACTCTCCCTACCATCCCTTCGCTTCCGTTAGGGCGAGACTAAAAGCATACATGCAGCTAACTGAGTGGAACGCGCGCGGAATGATTCGATCGAATGTTCACATGAATTGCGCATTTCAAACGGCTTATTCGAATTGGAATTGATATTGTTGTTCGCACCGCCTCGATGGCGCCACGGCGACATTCGACCATCGACCTACTACCATTAGGGTTGAGTGCCACGTAGTCAGTTCGAGGTTGAACGACCCACCAAAGGCGGGAGCGTGATGGCGAAGCCATCATCTCTTCGTGCCACTGTTTTCGCATGCGACCGCATTCTTAGTGTTGCCTCTCTTAGCACTGAAATCTCTGCACTCGCCGCAGTCACCATGGATGGACGCGTCGCTGTTTTGTCGTGGCAACAGGCAGAACGCAATCGCCCTCTCAGCTCACCGGGACGCAGGGCGATGGTGGAGGTGAGCGAAGCCGAGTACTAGGATGCCAAGGCACAGTCGCCTACGCCCCCACACATGGTGACCTCAGTCTGCGCCTGGTATTATGGCGTTTTTGGCGATTGTTTGTTGACCCGGCATATTGAATAAACCTGTGCACTATTCCGTGCGTCGCATTCCACTGCAGGCTCTCATCGCCCCGTTTTCCCTGGGAGGATGCATTGATGCATGGTTGAATGTGCGAGGCCGCTCTGCTGACGCGGCCTCTCTTGGGACAGCTTCCCGGAGGACGGTGACATGGCATTGTGCCAACATCGAGGTGAGCAGCATGTGGCATCGTTCTCTCATGATCCCATCCCACTATTTCCATCCATTGATGCTGTGAAGCTTTCCTTCCCTCCCTTAGCTGCACATATCCGCGCCCAGAATGTCTCTTCTGTTTACATCACAAAAATCAACTATCTGAATACTATACATGATGTGTGTTTGAAGACTTTGTTCGAATGTTTTCAAAATGTAGGGGTTCAAACTTTTTTAGAAGAAAGTATCGAACTTTTTTCAAATGATGTGTCAGATGATTTTCGTATGATTGGCAGGTTCTGAAATGGTTCTGAATACATGCGAGGGAAGTTCTATTGGGGTTTTGGAAACCTTGTTATGGACATGTTGGCGACACCTATTGACATTTATGCGGTGTAAAAATGGTGCTTTGCTGTGTTTTGTTACATGTTTGAATTGGATTTTGACATAGTTTAGCAGAGTGTCAATGCCTGTAAATTATACAGTTGGAAAAGGGCATCATGTATGTTTTTTTACCTTGTACACAGCCATAATTACACCTTGCACAAGGTTCGATAATGCCTCGACCCAACACCAAACATCCTTTTCCATGGATCCCACCGACATACGATGTGTGCTCGCAAAAATCAGAAAAATAGGAATTAAAAACGCTACAACATTCCTTTTGCTTCATATCCCTGCATCTAGTCTCCTATTGTCACATTGTCACTGCCTTCTACTGGTAATCTGACTTGCTGCTGCAATCCCCTACTCGTCTCCTATCGCACTAGTTGGCCTGGAGTTCCTAACTGCTGTGACCTATGCTGCCCCTTCTTCGCTTTCCCAAACGCTCTGTGTCTACTCTACTCCCCTGGCTGCTGTGACTGCTCTTCTTCCCACTGTTGTGACTGCTCTTCTTCCCCCGCTGCTTCCTCAACTTTGCTCCCCACCTGTTGTGACTACTAAGCTTGACCTGCTGCTGTGATTCTTCGCCTCTCCCACTGAATACATACTCTTCTTCTCCCACTGCTGCCCCTTCTTCGCTCCCCCCCTTGTTGTGACTTCTCTGTTCCCTCCTTGCTGCCCCTTCTCCGCTCCCCACACTGCGGAGACCTTTGCTCCCCAGCTGCTGCCCTTTCTATTCGTCCCCCACTGCTCAGTGACTACTCTACTCCCCTGGCTGTTGTTTATTTGGAGCTCCCCCCACTGTTGTGACTACTCTCCTTCCCCGCTGCTGCCCCTTCTTTGCTCCCCCCTATTGTAACTACTCTGCTTGACAAGCTGCTGCCACTCCTCTGCTCCCCCCACTGCTGCCCCTTCTCCACTCCCCCCACTGTTGTGATTACTCTGCTCCCCCTGCTGCCCCTTCTCCGCTTCCCCAAATGCTCTGTGTCTACTCTGCTTCCCGCACTGCTGCCTCTTTGGAGCTCCCCCCACTGTTGTGGCTGCTCTTCTTCCCCCGCTGCTGTCCTTTTCCGTTCCCACCCTGCTGTCATTACTCTGCTTGACCCGCTGCTACCCCTTCTCCGCTCATCCCACTGCTGTGACTGCTCTACTTCATCTGCTGCTGGTCCTTCTCCCATACCCCCTCTGTTTTTATTACTCTGATTTCCTGTTTGCTGTTCCACTGCTGCACACTCCACTCCTGCTCCTCCCAGCATCACAGCATTGCTGCCCCCAAGCAAATACCTACTGCCTCTCACAGCTGCCATACCCCGCTGCTCCGCTGCGGTCTCACAGCTCAACATAGCTTCCCTTTTTGCTGTCCATCTCATACTCTCCCTACTGCTACTCCTCCACAGCACACCCCACACCAGTTCTGCAGCTTACCCCTCCACTGCTGCGTCCCCGTGTCTTCCCACTCCACCTTTCTCTGCCTCTCGCACTGTTTACAACCCGCTGCTCCTCTTCGTTGCAACTTCCACTCTAGTTCAGTCAAGCAACCACCCTCCCCACCGGAGTGCGGGTGCTTGGTGTGGCCCTATACTCCTCAAAGCCCGACTCGTGGACAAAAAGGCCAAATGGCCCCCATTCGAAACCCTTCATGCGGGGGTTGTAGGTCGGACTGGCCTGGGTGAAGTGATCCCTCACCACCCTTTTCACAAGGGCGCGGATGCTTGTCACCCATTTGGTGTTCTTACGGTGGGAGTTGGTGAGGTTCATTGTCGTCTTGTTTGTCTTTGACAATCCGTAATCGATCTGTACAGTGATGGAGTTTGGAGGGATTTGTGGATCACGTTTCAAAGGGGGAAACAGTGAAGTATTGGGAGCACCGTGCATGGCATGCAAGGATGGAAAGCAAATTGAAACATTTGTTGAAACCCAAGCAAGGAATGGGGTAGAAGAACACAATGAATTGGGGACAATGAGAGGGAGAAAGAATCTGCTCACCACCATGATAATCCACGCAATGTGATACGCCTTGATGCACAACTTTGTCCCCACAGCATATTCACCAAAGGCATCCATGGCAGCATCGAAGAAGCACTTGTTGGCGAATGGGGAGCCGGACTCCTCATCATTCCCCCATGTGCTTAGTGGATCATCGGCAGCTGCAGCAGTTGGGTTTGGAGGGGGTTGGGGAGGGGACAGGTGGGGCATTGGCAGGCCAATCTGGTCGGTCGAAGGAAAACGGGAAAGGGTAAGAGAGAAACAGTGACCAGGGAAGGGGGTTGGGGGTGTAACCCCCCCAAAATCATGCAATACAAGGCATTGTGCGATGGAATACTCACTTGGGCAGTAGGTGCCCCAAAGATCGCACTTCAATTCCACGTCGATGTGTAACTCTGATGCACGCAGCCCACTAACTGCCACCCCCAGGGCCTCGAGCACCGCCCTTTTGATATAGAAGGCGCGCTCGTTCTTCCATTGCGTCCAAACACGCTTGAAAGTTTCAATGCGTTTCTGGTCCTGCATGACCTCTTTCAACTGAATCAAAGACACTATGTAGTTCTCTGATATGACCGCGTGCAAGACCAAGATCCTCTTCTCAAAAGATGGGTAGAAATTGATTTCGTTGTCGTCAGCTTCCATGCACATGCGATTCCTGGTATCCTCGATGTAGAGCTAATGAAGTATTCAACGGAAGGGAAAACATGGAACATGGCATGCAGGGAAGGAGCAAATCAGGATGCATGGGGAGGAGGGCAAGCTTTGAATGGTGCAAACAGAGATGAATGCAATGCAAGGCATGCAGGGAAGGTGCACATTGAGAAGCATGGGGAGCAGGGCATGCTTTGAATGGGGCAAACAGAGATGACTGCACTGCAAGGCATGCAGGAAAGGTGCAAATTGGGATGCATGGCGAGCACGGCATGATTTGAATGGGGCAAACAGAGATGACTGCACTGCAAGGCATGCAGGAAAGGTGCAGGTTAGGATGCATGGGGAGCAGGGCATGCTTTGAATGAGGCGAACAGAGATGAATGCAATGCAAGGCATGCAAGGAAGGTGCAAATTGGGAAGCATGGGGAGCAGGGCATGCTTTGAATGGGGCAAACAGAGATGGATGCAATGCAAGGCATGCAGGGAAGGTGCAAATTAGGATGCTTGGGGAGCACGGCATGCTTTGAACGGGGCAAACAGAGATGGATGCGAAGCAAGGCATGCAGGGAAGGTGCAGATTAGGATGCAACGGGAGCAGGGCATGCTTTGAATGAGGCAAACAGAGATGGATGCAATGCAAGGCATACAGGGAAGGTGCAAATTAAGATGCTTGGGGAGCACAGCATGCTTTGAACGGGGCAAACAGAGATGGATGCGAAGCAAGGCATGCAGGGAAACAGATTTACGGGTTGGGGAAGGGCAACTGACCCTCAAATTCGTGGCAGATGGCATCCCATGTCTCCTAGCGATGGGCGGTCCTTGTACAACACTCTCCGCCACACACACGGGCTCAGGTTCCTGGGAGGGTAGCTCGCTGGATATCGCCTGCAGAGGTGGAACTGGCATTCCTACTCCAGCAGAATTTCCCAGGGGCCTTGGTGCTGCCTTCAGCTCCGCAATCTGCCTATTCGCTTCCTGCAATGCCTGAAACAATTGCTGCATGGACGCGTTGGGTGATACACCAGCACTACTGAAAGGGAATACAACTGCCGCACCCTCTTGCTTGCACCTTGCGGATTCTCCCGCGACTTCAGGCCCAATATCTGTTTTACCAAAAGCCTCACAACTAGGTCGACCGTCGCCTGGCTGACCTCCAGCACCAGGGTTGCCACCGTCAGCTGCGCCCTGGAGTCCGACCTGCACGCCACTACTCCGCTCAAAACCCTGCCCAATGCCCCACTCCTCATCGTCACTTCCTCCATGCTTACGGTTGTCAGCAACACGCTGGACTTCAACTT